CATTCTGATATGTCTATCAAAGGCGTGATTATGGCTTCACATAATTAAGTCAACAATAAGTGCATAATGATCGGATGGATAGTCGTTGTGCTTATATTTGCCATCCAAGCCAACATCCAACAGAGGATATGTTCCACAGTACAACGTTACATTATCAGTTTTAATTGGACCTAAATTGGAATAAAATAATTTCTGATTGACTCATATTTGAGTCCGATGCACTTACCCGAATGAAATACATAGTCAAGCCGATCTTGGGGTTCAGGAACATACTTGTACTCCCAATCTTTGCTGAAATGTTGAATTGGCGACCATGTGTATCCTGAATTAACGTTTCTCCAGGCTGAGTTTTAGTGGAGAACCACTGGGAAGAGCAAAATTATTAGCACGGATAGTTCAATAAGGTGCTACAAAATTTTCTGTTTACCATTTGCAGTTTTTTTCCTAGATCAAACTTCCTCACGATTACGTTTTCACTGAATTTTGTACACTAGACGGCTTTTACCTTGCCCTATTTACTTTTTAAGCTGGGAATGAAATGTCAAATTGAGGAGCAGTGGCATTTTCGGCATCTAATTTGCTTTCATAGTTTACTGCGAGTTGTTAAGCTTCATTTAAACATTGATTTTTTTTCAAATGACAGCAGTTGTCAATCAAAACCCAGGGCCGATCCTAACACAAATTTTGTCCAGAACTATTGTCGATGCTCTCAAATCAGAATCCCTCGGTCGCTTGTCGAGGAAGCCGTTTAGTCAATTCACGAGAGGCACATCGTCATTGAGGGTTGTGCCTTCGCCGTGGTATGCTGGGAGTAAAGTGTTAGGAAGCTTCTAATTAAAGTTAATGAACCAATCAGTAGTGCTGCAGTGCATGACATCTCCTCTAGAAGTGGAACAAATATGAGCACCAAGAAACATTAGCAGGTGTCAAAATACTGTTCCGTATCAATTCGACACTCCATCTCTCTCAAAAAGGTCAAAATATGAAATAAATTTTTAAGAACGCGATGAGTATAGTTTTTGAACCACAGCAATAGATTCCAAATTTCGTGGAACAACTGATTAAACATACGAAAAAGTGCATCAAA